TTATTACTTAGTTTAATGAATTGTTACTTAGTTTAATGAATTAATACTTAGTTTAATGAATTATTACTTAGTTTAATGAATTATTACTTAGTTTAATGAATTATTCCTTAGTTTAATGAATTATTACTTAGTTTAATGAATTATTACTTAGTTTAATGAATTATTACTTAGTTTTATGAATTATTACTTAGTTTAATGAATTATTACTTAGTTTAATGAATTATTACTTAGTTAATGAATTATTACTTAGTTTAATGAATTATTACTTAGTTAATGAATTATTACTTAGTTTAATGAATTATTACTTAGTTTTATGAATTATTACTTAGTTAATGAATTATTACTTAGTTTAATGAATTATTACTTAGTTAATGAATTATTACTTAGTTTAATGGATTATTACTTAGTTAATGAATTATTACTAAGTTTAATGAATTATTACTTAGTTAATGAATTATTACTTAGTTTAATGAATTATTACTTAGTGTAATGAATTATTACTTAGTGTAATGAATTATTACTTAGTTTAATGAATTATTACTTAGTTAATGAATTATTACTTAGTTTAATGAATTATTACTTAGTTTAATGAATTATTACTTAGTTTAATGAATTATTACTTAGTGTAATGAATTATTACTTAGTGTAATGAATTATTACTTAGTGTAATGAATTATTACTTAGTTTAATGAATTATTACTTAGTTAATGAATTATTACTTAGTTTAATGAATTATTACTTAGTTTAATGAATTATTACTTAGTGTAATGAATTATTACTTAGTGTAATGAATTATTACTTAGTTTAATGAATTATTACTTAGTTTAATAAATTATTACTTAGTTTAATGAATTGTTACTTAGTTTAATGAATGATTACTTAGTTTAATGAATTATTCCTTAGTTTAATGAATTATTACTTAGTTTAATGAATTATTACTTAGTTTAATGAATTATTACTTAGTTTTATGAATTATTACTTAGTTTAATGAATTATTACTTAGTTTAATGAATTATTACTTAGTTTAATGAATTATTACTTAGTTTAATGAATTATTACTTAGTGTAATGAATTATTACTTAGTGTAATGAATTATTACTTAGTTTAATGAATTATTACTTAGTTAATGAATTATTACTTAGTTTAATGAATTATTACTTAGTTAATGAATTATTACTTAGTTTAATGAATTATTACTTAGTGTAATGAATTATTACTTAGTTTAATGAATTATTACTTAGTGTAATGAGTTATTACTTAGTGTAATGAATTATTACTTAGTTTAATGAATTATTACTTAGTTTAATAAATTATTACTTAGTTTAATGAATTGTTACTTAGTTTAATG